GGACTCGATCCCGGGACTCCAGGATCATGACCTGAGCCGAAGGCAGTCGCTTAACCAACTGAGCCACCCAGGCGCCCAAGATTTTTATTTATTTAACACAGAGAGAGCACAAGTAGGCAGAGCAGCAGACAGAGGGAGAGGGAGAAGCAGGCTCTCCGCTGAGCAGGGAGCCCGATGCGGGGCTTAATCCCAGGACCCTGGGATCATGACCTGAGCCGAAGGCAGCCGCCTAACGACTGAGCCACCCAGGTGCCCCCATAATAAAGCATTTTTAAAGGGCCCTCTATTGAAGGTAAAGACAAATGAGCCAAAAGGGTTATTATTCAAGTGTACTAAAATGTCTACTTTAACAAAGGCTTAATTTTTCCGCTCATTTCTAAAGAGTAATAATTATTCAACATTTTATAACATAGGATAATTAGTATTTAATTGTTTCTAGGTAAAAGCATTCGTACATGCTATGTCAGGGGAAACGGAACCACCTAATAAATAACAGGAAACCCTGGGACAGCACTGCTCTGGGTTTTGTGGCAGATAACCAGTTCCCATCCCACGAAGAAGTATCACACAAGCCCGTGGAGTTGGCCTGGTGAGAAGAAAGGGGGTATAGCCCCAGTGTTGGACAGTCTCAGATGGAGGAAAACTGCATCGTTATGAAGCCCACCACCAGCTTCACACTTGTGCTAACGATGAAGGGAACAGGGTTGCCAGCCAAAGCCGGAAAAGAAATTACCTTGAATAAGCTTTCCCAATAGTAGCAGGGTTTGCATGTGTGTGACCAAAGATTAAAAAGTTAGACAAGATAAATGCAGATCAAAGGCGCTATCAAAACTAGAGACTAGTAAGCTGCTGAGAGCCAGTCCTCTAATTCACAGATGGAGTTGGCTGATGTACAACCTTCCACACAGTCCTCGAGGACTCTGACAGGGTCAGAAATAAGCGAAGAGAAAAGATGTCATGACTGATACTCTTTACCCCGAGCTGGATGCCAGCGCCCTGAATCTAACAGCATGGAGCCCAAGAGACCATGTAGGCTTCCAGGGAGGAAGGCCCTGTGCTCCCATCCATTGGTCCATCCGTCCATCCATCCATCCATCCATCCACCCATCCATCCATCCTTCCTTCCATCTATCCTTCCATCCATCCATCCATCCATCCATCCACCCATCCATCCATCCTTCCATCTATCCTTCCATCTATCCTTCCATCCACACATCCATCCTTCCTTCCATCCATCCATCCATCCTTCCATCCATCCATCCATCCATCCATCCATCCATCCATCCATCCAAAAGAGAAAACAATATTTACTGAGCACCTACACTCATAGAATAGGAGGGTACAGGGGTCCTTGCCCCGGAGCTGCTCACAGTGAGACAGAGAAATCAGGGTTCAGCTTGGGAAGGAGCATACTGAACGTCAGGGTCCGTGCAAAGCTGCAGGGGGGGTGCCCAAGTCTGAAGGGCGGTGGGATGGCGACACCAGCCTGGCAGTACGTGACAGGGTGGTGAGATACTCAGGCATTTGTTACATCGTGGGGCTGGAAGAGACTGCAAGCAGGTGCATCTTCACACAAAAGGCAGGTGTACTTTCTGCCATGTTTTTGGGAAAGAGATTCATTGGAATGATTTCAACATTTTTTAAGTTTCAAACTAAGAACAGTTAGTGGAAGTAATTTCTTGTAGCTCATGAGAAAGTGGTCCTTTTCATTCTAGTCAGTCACAGATTGGATGTTTTAGGGAATTATCTTGCTTCTGCGGCTATATGTCCATGCACACATCTGTTGCCAGACTGCAGCAGGGGTGAGGTTGATTTAGAATTGGGGGAAGCAAGAGAAGACAGAAAAAGGAGAGTTTTAAATGACACCTTAACTTTTAAAACTACTGGCGAGGTTGGGGATATTGTAAAAGGCTAAGAACAGAATAAGAATAAAGAATGGGCCCTACTACGGGATCCCATCCACTCTCCTCCCACGTGACAAACCCCTCCAGTCCTCTTTAAAACAAGCATCAGGAGGCACATTTCTGGGGTCCACTAAGCTCCAGGGGGTCTCATGTGTCCACAAAACCTACGCAGTAAACAGTGTTAGGCACTAAATTTCAAATCTCCTTTACAGAGCTATTCCTCGAGCTCTAACTTCCATGAAGTGCAAAGACTAAGGAAGAGGGAGAAGGGTTTCCAGCAGAGTCAAGATCCGAGAAACACACTGTGGCTACGGATGGACGGTCTGCCAGGGCGTCCCTGGGGATGGAGATCCGGGGAGTTGTCTGAGGCTCCTTCTGAAAGTGTCTAAGAAAACACGCATTCTGTGAGGACATGACGACGGCATCAGAAACAGGAGCCCTTTGTTCTGGAAACCAAAGCCCGTCGGAATCATGAACTGAAATGGACTCAGGTTGGAGCTCCATGTGCTGGAAACACAGGCAGGTGACAACGGCCACGTCTGGCTTAAGATGCTGTGCCCATTGCCGGCCATCTCCCAGAGTCATCACCCCACAGGTAAGCTCTGCTCAGCATCATTTGCTGTATGTCCCACCCACTGATGGCTGCTGATAGCCAAGTGCTGAAGCAGGACAGTGGGGAAGTCAGGGGAGGGGAAGGGAGAGGGGACACAACTTACTCGCGTCACCACCAGGACCGAAAGCACTCTGCAAAGCCTCTCGAGCTGGGAGACCCGAAAAGGGTACAGTAATAATCTGCAGGCTGAACTGCCACGAAACAGTTATCACTTAGGGTGTCACGGGACATGTTATCTCTGTGACTAAGGTTTATCATTGTGCATTCACTGCGGAGGCCAAGACTGGAATACGAAGGTGTGTGCAACTGGTAAAAATAGTATTTAACAAGTAAAATGATAACCTGCTCTGTGAGGCAGAATTCTGGGGCCCTGACCCTCTGTTTATTCATTTGTCATTGTGGATCTGTAACTGGCTTGACCATTCATGCAGACACGTCTTGGGTCTGTTCCTCAATGTTTCAGAAGAGGACCAGGTGCCCACCATGTTTTTGCCAGGAATCACACGCTCAAACTCAGGGCCATCTGGGCCTGACTATGAGTCCACAGAGGGAAATACTCAGACAAGGAGGCACACGGCTCCTTCCACAGTCTATACACTTTGCAAATGCCGTCAAGCTAGGCCACTGGGAAGCCACACACTTAGACTTCATTGCTTTAATTTCTTGTAGAAATAGCTTTTGCCATAATGTTCTCCTGTTACCAGCCTGAGCATGGCTTAGAAATCAGCTCAGATTCATGACTGCGCATCTCGTGAACATGCTGCTAACTAAGAATTGTATGCATGACATTACGCTTCTACAGGGGCCACGGAGACGGTGCTCCCCCACTTGTGTGAGGGAAGGCTGGCTTCTTCTAAAACCCCAGCTTGTTGCCCTCTTTGGGACTTTTGCCACCGACTGCGAATTCCAAGTTGCTCTGGCGGCCAGGGAAGGAGGAGACAGGTGTGCAGCCACCACCGGTGAGCGTGGGGGACTGTGGGCATGCATCGCTGCATACAAATCACACCTGTGGCTTTACCTTTTCCTCCCACGATTTTCCCTTCAATTTAGTTATATTACCCTCTCTGTATGCCTTTTTGTGAGCTACCTCCTCACGCTGATTTTTATCATCTGATACATACTCACATGTGTACGAAATAATATCCTGCTTCCATTCATGAAAGCATTGCTTATGGGCTTGAGAGTCCCAGTGGCACTCATAGAATCAGCTGTTGCTGGTTCAAGGCCAAGAGGACTCTGTAAATCCTATTATTTGCCTGTGTTCTGGACGGGGGAGTCCACGTCGAGGATAAGAGGTGGATGTGGGATTTGAACCCAGTCTCCCTTGAGTCTCTTTCCCACCATGCATCACATGCAGAAGACAACCACCCTTTTTCCCTTGTCTTGTTGTATCCTATATGCTATTTCCCACTCAGGATCCTCAATTCCTTAACACTGTCACAAGGAGTAAATGAAATAACCTGGTCAAGTGTTTGGGACACCCTGACAAATTAATCAGCTGTGTGGATCTGCTCACGTGAGAATCTTCAGGGGAGGGAAGGTCTAAAGGTCAACAGCAAAGGTAGAGAATCGAGGCCTAGAAAGTGTGGAGTTACTGAACTGTTCTGTGAGTATGTCTGTGAAGACGGGTCACAAGTGCCAAGGCCAGGTGCTGACTGCGGGGAGGGATGGAGAGTGCCAAGCAGGAAGTCCTGCACATACTAAGTACTGTAAGTATTTACTCCTCTAAAGTTAACTTTCTACACAGGGGGGGTTGTAACACGTTCACAGCCTCCGAATAATGAACTGATAGCTGTAGAGAGAAGACAATAAGGCAGATATAAATTGACCAGTGGTTAAGAACCTTCGTTTGTGTGGAGAGGTTGGTGACTTTGGTCTGTTTGAGCTGGGTGGAGAAAAGATGGCGCTCACAGAAAATCCTGCTAGCTGGACCGGCAGACAACACACACCATCTTTCAGAATGAAGACTAAAGTTGGGAGACCTGGGACCCAAGAGGGGAAGGTGTGTGCGTGAGCACGATGAGAGATGACCCGGTGACCACCAGGAGCCCGGTCTACTTCCCTGAGAAGCCCTATGGCCAGCGCAGGCGCCTGCACCAGGGATCAGGCTAGCTCTTAGGAGGGCGTATGATTACACTTCCTTCTAGTAGTGAGTTTCCGCATTATAGTTACGCTAGGCATACAATGAGCCCCTTTTCCACCTGGTTCCTGGCCTTGGGCAGGTGCAGCAGTGACCGCAGACAGCAGTCTCTCCTGGGATAATCTGCCTCTGAGCACACAGAACTGACAGATCTTCCAAGCCCAGAGGTAGATGTCACAGTTTCTGGGGCTGACATCTTTCAGCTCCAGAGACTGAGAGCAGAGGGCTTTTTGTCTCGATTCGTCTGTGTTCAAGGTGTTCAGAGTTCAGGGCAATCTGGGCTGGATTCCTCATCATTTACACAGACACTTGCACCCCTGGGTGTCCCCTTTCCCAGCCTGTGCCCTAAATCTGTCCCAGAGACCCACTGGTTGCCAGAGAGGCAGGCTGTTCACTGCAGAGTTGAGATGCTGACAGTGGCTTCAGGAGGAAACAACCAGCTTAGGAGAGAGACCATCCAAGAAAAGGAGAGACAAAGTCTGAGCTGTGAAACACCAGAGGATGGGGCAGCAGCAAGGAAAGAGCTCTTCTCTGGAGAAGGTGGCGGGTGTCAAAGATGGGGCCACGCAGAAGCGCTTAGATCCTGGGGTCTACAAGCATGCGAGCCGGGCTCGGGCGTGCGGTCCCCAGGAGTAAGGCCCAAGTAAGTACCCTCATCCCATGAGTCACCAGGGTCAGCAGGGAATGGACTGGCTAAAATACAACCTTGTTTGTTCTCAACACATTTCAGTTTTTCTTTACATACCCTTGAATTATCTACATTGCACATTGATTTAATGGCAGGTAAATTCCATAGTGTCTCCCCTCCAGCTGAAGTAAATACTACTCTGGAATATCGGTCACCTGGTGACATGAAAAAGAAAAGAAAAAGGTTTATAATTGTCCATTTCTTTCATCAGACTCAGCATTCAGGAGCAAGTCAAACTGGGGAAGCATAGGGACAAGTCATTAGCAGCAAGGAGCCTTTCCTTGATAAATTCCAGGAGAAAAAAAATAAAGCAATGCTATAATACTGTTTCTGCTCAAACAACATCTGAAAACTCATAGGAGTTATATAACAAATCTATTTCTGATCAGACTGTGTTTAGGAACAGTGATCTGTAAGAATGCTCAGCACAAAATTAACTGAATGCCTCCCTCTTAATTTTGAAACACATTATCAGAATGGTGTGTAAAACCCAAGAAGGATCCATTAGGGAATATCAAGAGTGGGTGTTCTCTTTGGCAGCACACTAGGGAGGAAAGATGGCAGGTGATCAATTTAAAAGCACTAAAAACAGTCAACCAGGTACCGAATGTGGGCCAGGGTCGCAGATATACTACACATTCTGGCTGGGTCCATGGTCTCTCTGGTCCACCAGAGTCTAGAATAAATACTGTGGTAATCAGGGGCGCCTGGGTGGCTCAGTCGTTAAGCGTCTGCCTTCGGCTCAGGTCATGATCCCAGGGTCCTGGTATCGAGCCCCACATCGGGCTCTCTGCTCAGCGGCAAGCCTGCTTCTCCCTCTCTCTCCCACTCCCCCTGCTTGTGTTCCCTCTCTCGCTGTGTCTCTCTCTGTCAAATAAATAAATAAAATCTTTAAAAAAAAAAAAAATACTGTGGTAATCACACTAACACAGGCCAGCTGCAGGACAGGCGAACCCGGCCCTGGGGTCAGAAGCAGTGGAACCAGGTCCTGCCTTGCCCCAGCTGTGGGGATGAACAGCTCCTCTGAGCCTTGGACCCTCATCTGTAAACACGTCTCTCTCAAACAGGTGTGAGAACTAAAGGAAAAACAGTGGGTGAGTTAGTGCTGTTTTAGCTCCCTCCGCCATTAGAAGAACTTCATATAATAAAACAGAGTGGACTCACTTTCTGTTATCTAAAATGCCTAATTGTGTTGACAAAGAAAACCAATCGGCAAATTTATGAATAAAGCTTTAATACATGAGCTTTTATTCATGATTATGAAATTTTCTTTAGTAAACCCTTTTCTTCACCAAATGGCCATTATCTTATATTGACTGACTTCTAAGAATAAGACAAGCCCATGGAAACAAACATTTCCTCCTCAGAGCAGGACTGGGATGGCCTTCCTCAAGGTGGAGCCGTGGCCGAGGGGACAAGTGTTGTGTGTGGGCTGTTGGGACAGACGTGGCCACATTTCATGAATTTGCTAATGTTCATCCTGGTTCAGATATTAACCAACAGATGTTGGTTCAGAAATCTATAGTGTCACTCTGAGAGAGAGAAACCAACCAGAACATTCAACTAGAGTCCAATTTTCTAATACGACACAGAAAAAGACATGTGTGCTCCTTCCTGGGACCAGGACAAAATTCTCCCTAATCTCCTATTTTCCATCTCTCAGTTACTGTAGAGTGAAAGAGTGTCCCAAGTAAAGACCTTCAGGCTTGGCTAGATCTAGAAACATCAGAGGTCTGGTGAGGTCCTTTAACAAGACAGGAAAATACACATTTTAGGGGGATTTTCAACAACAATTTTAAAAAGCTGAATTCAAAAGAGCATTGGTGTGAAGATTCACTGAAGGAGAAGCTGTAGGTCCTCATGCCCGCTCTTCATGGCTAAGCAGCGACCTCCAGGTGCACTGGTGTCCCCGAGGCCATGCTCTACACCCCAGCAGAGGCCGGTTAGTGAATCTGCTGCCAGCATCTGGAGACCTGGTGATGCTACATTCAACTCTGGGTTCCTGACCTCAGGGAAGTTCCTACACATCTGGGCCCTCATTTCTTCAAGGCCACATTCTGTGGAGCTAAGTGGCAGCTCTTCGCGCTCTGTGACAAGTCACGTCCTGCTGCCTGATGTGTTCACGTGTTGGGCTGGCCCCCAAGGCACTCCAGCCGTGGGCTTCTGGACCGTATTCTGTTCATCTTTCTATCTCTAATGCCTAACAACAAGGCAGGCACAGGGAAGGCTATTATTTATGCTTTCTGAATGAAACAAAACTTAAAAAGTATACTTCTGATAATATAGATTATTTTTGGGTTCAATCCAAAAATATGTACTTGTTCACTGGGAATATTTTTTAAAATAATGTAAGAAATTTAAAATGACTTGAAATTTGGGGCAAGGTCAAGATTTTTTTTCAATATTTTTATCTTCCTTAAAACTGAATCTAACTCAATAATCTCATTAATTTTTATTATAGGTAAATAAATTCAGATTAGTGGTTGACTGACCTTGAGAAGTAAAACTACAAGTTAATTCAGCTAAAATCTGTGTCAGTGCCCAGCATATCCTCCCACCAGTCTCAATTTACTTGTGCTCCATCTCGAGCACAAGGAGCCCCAAGGGGCTGTTTACCTAGGATGCCACTCACTCGGAATGTCGCAGAAAAAGCTGTCTTTGTGGAAGTTCCAGTCAACTTCTCTTTTCTCTCTTTCATAGTGATCATCTGACCATCTATCATCCCGATGGCTGAAATGGAACGACAATGTGATCCTCAATAAAGCACTTGGACAGCACAGGGAATGTAGTCAACAGTCTGTAACAGTGTTGCACGGCAGCATATGGAGGCGAGCACGGTGTAGGGTACAGACTTCTCCAGTTGCTCTTATACACCCGAAACTAAACCATGTGTGTCAAGCATAATGCAATCATAAAAACGTAAAAATAAAGTACAGCTATTTCAAGTCCAATAAGCATACCAGTAACGGTATACTTTAGCCATGACCTACCTGAAATTAAAAGGATTAATATAAGAAACCAACATTAATTTTCTCACTTCTGTAAAAGAAAAAAACCCCAAACCCTCACTTTTTTACCTTAATACAACAAAATCTTAAAAGACAACGAGAATGTAAACAAATTCAGTGGCAAAGATTTTGAGCCACACACTTGCATTTAGTCATCTTGCTCAGGCAATCCTTAATAGTGGAATTCATCAAGCAATGTTTTGTGTAAAAGTTAATAAACAATTACCTTTTGGCTTGTTCATCTGCATATTTAAAAGGATAATTTGCTAATGTTGCTTTGTATCCCGTATTTTTCACCATGTTATTCCATGTGACCAGTCTCTGGCCTATCGCAGTCCCTCTTGGCTCAAAACCCTGAGACAAAATATTACAAATTCCCATTAGTGCACTTTTCTTCAGGCTATGAATGGTTACAGCAGGTTGGGAAAGCAATGCTGGGGCGCCATGTGGCTTTCAACAGGAAGCACAGATGCTGCTCGCAGCTACCCTGGGAATGAACAGCACTGAATAAGATGGAGGCCACCATTCACTACGACAAGGCAGTTTGGTTCTCTGGTGTGTGACCTGTTTCAGCAAGGAAGAGTAACTGTGTCTGAAGCTTCGCTTTCAAAATCATACCTAAGCAATTAGCAAATACTTACTTTGATGTTATAAAAAATTATGGTGAAATCAAATTATGTCATGTATGTTATACTGTTTTATGGGAACATTTACTTAAAAATAGACCCTGCTATCTCTTAGTAAAACTGAAATTCCTTTCACTTCTCTGCGGGGGGGCGGCGGGAAGACATTCAGTCTTAAAGACTTTATGAAAATATTTTTATAGAATGCAGATTCTCCATTTTATTGCTTTTTAGCTTAAATGTGGGAGCCAGGAAGCAAAATTTCCAGGTCTGTAATGGCAAACAAGTTCCCTGACCTTTTAAGAATCTGAAAATAGGATGACAAGTGTTTACTTTTCAGAAAGAGAGCTGCATACTCCTGTTGGGTTGAGAAGGTTTTGAAAGAAACAGGATACTAAATTATATAATTTGACACATATTAAAATACTGAATTTCTTGAGATAATTTTGGGCTACAGAAATTTGACGGGCTGAATTTTCCTTACCAGCAGTGGATCAGAGAAGTCGGGAAGTTCGGGCACTAACACCCCAACCAAGGCGCAGACAACGATGAACATGGTGCACATGCCCAGCACCACCACGGGCCAGTCCGCTATCAGGGATGCATAGCTGCAGGGCAGAGAGGAGCACACAGGAGGCCGCTTAGAAGCAACATGAGGCTTTGCTGCCCAAGAGAGCAATGTGTTAAATCCTCCTAGTTCAGACCTAGTCCAGTTTATCAATCAAAGATGCAGTGAGATGATAAGACAGATAGCATTTCACATCTACATCTGTTCCTGGAGAGATCTACAATCTACACCCTCACGTGGGGAGAAAATGTACTTGAACAGAGGACCCATCCTCCTGCAGTCTCGTCTGGAACTTGTTTCTCCATCCTTGTACTCTGGCAGTTCTTGGAGAAGAACTCAGCCCACAAACAGGCTCATGTATCCATCTTAAGAATAACCAAACCAAACCAAAACTTCCCACAAACCTGCCACTTTCCTTCCGGCTGAAACTATAATGAACGCATCAGCCTGAGTTCCAGGAGAGAGAGAGATGCTTGTTTTCTAGATTCGTTTAGTGCAGTTTTAGTTCATTTAGTACACCTTTCAGAAGGTGCCCTGTGCGTACCCGCCCCTCCCTTCACTCTCCAACCAACCTCAGCAGCTGGGCCTCGGTTTCCCCTCACTGTTACCAACCCCGCCCCAGGTTGGAGTCATTTCTTCGGGGAGCCCCTCCCTTCTGTAAGATCCTGGGTCTTACTGTCATGACACTTGCAGATCTTGATGTGAACTCTGTGCTCAACAGGAGCTGACTGAACAGAATTCTTCTAAAATTCAAAAATGTATCTTGCCAACTTCAGGTTTCTTGAATTCATATTGGAGAAAAAAGGAGCATTTCGCTTGTGGACCATTACTCTCAAATCCTCCACAGTGTTAGCTTGACAGCTGTGAAGGCTGGTTCTGGCTCCTTACTCCTGTGTTTGTGGGTTATTTCTTCAAAGTCAGACCAGGGGCTTAATGAAGCTGGTGGCCCTAAATGTCGCTCAGAGAAGCTGCTGTTTGTCTCCAAGACAAGGCTGCTCATGTTTCCATTCTGATGGCGCAACGCCACAGATCTGGCTTTCTGGGGGTATTTACTTCACATGAAATTTTAATATGGAAATTAAAATACAACATAATTATGCTTTAAGGGAACACCTGCCAAGGATTTTTCAGTGTTGTTCTTCTCAAGGTGATCTCAGGAGGAAGAATGATCGCTTGCACTTACCAGTGGTTCCTATGCATTACATACCTCACGGCTTTCTGAGATGCACTGTGGCACAGTTTGATCTGTGCTCTGCACCACGGAGCAGGGACAGCCGGTGTCCTGGGCATGCAGCATGCTGACTACAGTTAGCAACACTGGACTGCACATGTGAAAGTGTCTGATAGAGTAAATCTTCACAGATCTCATCACAAGAAAACAAAATTCTATACCTCTGTGTGGTGGCGGATACTACACAGACTTGCTGTGGTGGTCATTTCACAATATATACAAATACCGAATCATCATGTGCTGTGCCCGAAACTAACATAATGCTGTATGTCAGTTATAGCTCAATAAAAAAGTCACAAATAGGAACCCCGGTCATCTGGCTCTAGAGTGGGGCCTCCTAACCACTGTGATATCATATCTTGCTCTGAACATGAGAGAAACAAAAGACATCAGGACTAAGTCTACTTGCCACAAGTGTACGCTCCCCCAAATTCACACTGTACACTGAATTCCCAAGCCACACTAACGGTTCATTTCACAATGCAAAATCACCGAGGTCCACAGGTCTCCAAGCCCAGGCATTACTCACAAGCCTGCAAATTCTGAATTAACAACTCACTCAGGAAAAATTATGCTAGATAAGATGGAACGATCCTTGGAACATAATTCTGAATGTAATGAAAACATATCAATCACAGACGCTGATTGGGCTTGTTCAAACGTACACACTGTTTCGGAACACGCCCAGTGCTCACAGTCTCCCCTGGACTCTGTTTCCTCCTCCACCAAATGCAAACTCAGGATGAAAGCAACGAGTGTAGAAGCAATCTAGTCCTTTGTCAACAGCACACTTGAGACTTTCTGTTCCCGGCTTCAGCCTTAAAAAGAGTCCTTTACATTTTAGACCTTTAAAACATCAGTCCTGTGCAATGAAAATGGCCCCAGGCTTAGACAATCCCTATACTTTATTTTAAATGGATCAATTTTCTTGCAAATGGACCACAAGTTCTGTGTTCTTACCTACAAACGTCTTATCACCAGGGGGCACTGGGTCCCCAAGTGCTTTAATTTCCCCAGATAATGACTTTTTGTTTTGTGTTCTTAAAAAATCTGCAGGCACATGCAACCTTAACACCCCCTTCAATCATTGCTTTTCTTCCCTTGAGCACATTTGGCTTTGATATTATAGCCCTGCCCTAGGCCATGTGCGTGCCCAGACTCACTCCATATGGAGACTTCACGGCGTTATCGATCGCCGCACGCTTCTTCCACATCCGCTGAGCGTCACGGTGCTATGACTCCCTCCTCCTGCAGCGCGTGTCTCAGGGGCGAACCCCTCCCAGAGACAATGTTCACACTTGGTGGAGTCACCGCACTGAGCACCATGGGGGAAAGTCCGCAAGGGTCTCTCCTCGTTACCGCATTACTGCTGCCTACACTGGATATGGCTCAGCCATGGGCACCACGTGGGAAACAGAAGTCTCATGTACATTATGAAACCCAGACAATGTTGTAACATTAAGATAAAAATCTAATAAAGCAGGAAAACCGGAGAAGCAAAGGAAATTAAATATAGCCTGTAAATGTCACTGCTACATCTTTCACTAATTCCACTCCTGGTGAGTCTGGGTTCAAGGCCTATAATGTATCTAAATGAAAAGAATAAAGTATCTGCGCATTCGTTTCTGAGAAGTGAACCACGTGTGCAGGAGCAGATGCGGCAAAAGGCCCACTGCTCTGTGATTCGTCCTCCTACATGTCACGTAGTCCTGTCCTTCTTGTGCCCGCTCTCATTCTGGAAACCTCTAGACAACACCACAGCCTAACTGCAAATGCCGTCGACCTCTGTACCACAGCACTTCCCAGCCAGCAACCAGGAGGACTTCTCCCTGAGGCCCTTCAGGGAGCTAAGTCCCAGAGAGGACACGGATCGGAGGCACTCGTCCCTCTACGGGACGGGGACACAAGTTGCAGCTGAGCCAGGGATCGGCGCGGGCATGCGGCTGGCGTCCTGCTCAGGCTGTTGACACGCTGCAGTTTTCATGAGTGTCCCTCCTGCACCCTCAGAGGTCCCAGCCACCTTATTGCTGGGCTTACCCTGGGATGAGAGCAGAAGTAACTGTCCAAACAAATGCACCAAGCGTCTTTCCGGGTTAACTTTTGCTCGGGCGCCACTGTGTGTGGGTCACCACTGTGTGGGGGCCGGTTCTAAATAGGCCATTTGTACCACAATGGGCCTCCACAGGGCATTTTCCTCTCTCAGCTCACATAGCTGTTTTCCTCTGCCCTTCCTGGCCTCTCTGGAAACAGGCTCTCCTTTCTCCCTTCCCTCTGAGCAGAGAGCCGGGCTTCACACAGTGTGAGTGCCCTGGAACCAGGCCCCCCTTCCCAACCAAACACCCAACCCGTAACCCCTTGTAGCCCGGCTGTGCTCTCTCGAACCTGCCAAAGCCAACAAACTAGTTTTCTTGGTTTTCATTCTCCCTCAACTGAACAGTATTTAACACTTTAGTTACTACCCCTTTCTTCCCGAAAATCTTTTTCCCTTGTTTTTTCCCCCTTCTATTTCTCTTAACCGTTCCTTATTCCTCTTGTCCTCTAAGGGCAAGCATTTCAAAATGTTGTTAATCATAATTTTCCCAGTGGCATCGGCTATCAATTTAGTGGGAGGACTGACTGAGCTTGCGGAATTTCCCAGAACACAGGATACAGAACTCTTTCTTTGTTTGGAAGTAATAAAGTCAATGCGGTTAACGTCACAGAATAAGGGTGCAGGCGTCTGGGAGTAAGAACACGGCAGACACAAATGTCGCCCTTCTGGGACGTGGAACCTGATACAGAGAATCAGACAACTTTATAAATACTTACAAAACCAGGTAAAGAAATGTGTGTTTTTAGAGGGATACAGATATTTTGTGAATTCAACAGAGATTACTTCCAGCTAGGGGAAGGGAATCAGGAAAGGCTTTTTTTGAAGAAGTTGTATTTGTATGTGTACGTACTGAAAAGAAGACACTAGGACTTGTAAAAATACCAATGTAATAACAAAAAATATGAAAGAATGTCTTCAAAATGCAGAAGTCTTAGTCATTAGAGAGGGTTGTATTATTTGTAGAAAAATGGAAATTCATTTTCCTCACATGCCATAGTTACTTGTATAACCTCTTCCTTTATCTCTTGCCATAAACACAGTCTATCCAGACAACGGACTGTCATTCAGACTTCGAAAGGAAGGACGTTCTGCCACCACATGGAGGAGCCTGGAGGGCATCCTGCTGCGTGACATGGGCCAGTGCACTCACGGGAGGCGTCTGTGGAAAGTAGAGGGTGGTGCCGGGGGCTGGGAGCAGGAGGAACGAGCAGCGGCAGTTTAACGGGGAGAGTCTCTGTTCTGCAGGATGAAGGCAGTTCTGGAGGTGACCGTGGCCATTCCCCACAGTAACCTGAACTTGGCGCCGCAGAGCCGTGAACTTACACTCGGTTAAAATGGCGGATTTTATGCTCTATTTTAGCACAATTTTTAAAAATAAATAATCTTTAAATGGAGAAGGAATTTACGAATGAAAGTTTATGTAGTAATTATACTGTAAAGAGAGGATAAGCCTTCTCTAGGAGGTGAGATTCAAGGATCGTTTAGTCGCCAACATCTGGAACTGCCACCTACAAGCACATCACCGAGGAGACCAGGCTTTTTTTTAAGAAACACTTATCCCTTTAAAATTCTGCTTTTTGACTGAAAAGATAAAACTTCAAAATTTCCACATAAAAGACTACCTCCATTTTAATACGGTAACCACATTTTGGAGAAGAAACACAGACAACCCCCGAAACAAAGGGCTACAAACCCAACCCATGGCAGATGGCAGAGGAATGACTTGTCCTCCGCAAATAAGACAAGAAGGAAGGGATCCACTGCAGGAAGGAGCCGATGTGAACGATGAAACACAAACAGAATCTAGGTCACCCACTTTGGGAGAGGGCGTTACTCAAGCAGCCAAGTCAGGGGAAATGTACTTTTCCTTCATAAAAATACGAATGAGGAAGGCAGGAATAGCAACAAATGTGACCCAAGTGCCAAAGAGGACAGGGCGCAGGTAACTTCATTATCTAATGAGATGATACAGATTACTTTACCTTTTTGGCAACTTGAAAGGTCTGCGTGGTCTGAAAAAAAGCAAAAGAAAACCAATCAGAAACAAGGCATCACAACACAACATTTTTATGTGCACTTAGCACTGTCCTCCGTACCGCTCCTGCGTGGGCGCACACGGCGGGGGGTGCCCGGCAGGCCAGGGTGGGGGTGTCAGAGCGGCTGCCCAGGACGTGGACATATAAATGGATTGTTTTTAAATTGAATTAAATGACACAATTACCCAAACAGGCAGCCGGCATGCACAGGCTTGATAAACACACTCGTCAGACTCCAGGGGCAGAGGCGCATGGATGCCGTGGACCCTCGCACACATGGCCGGTGGGCCGCCAAGGGCACGGCGGGAAGGAGTGACACCACGGAGTCGGTGAAGGGCTCAAAAGGGGCTTTCATTAAAAATGGCAACTACTCAAGTAGTTATGAAGAATATTTAATTTGGGGGGTAAATCTATCCGAAAACCAAAACACTGTATTTTCAATATAATTACATACTTGTTTTTTAAATTTTATTAATATACAATTCACAAACCATACAATTAATCCATTTACAGTGTACGGGTTGGTGGTTCTTAGTGCCTCCACATACTGGTTTTTAAAGAATATGCTACCTGAACCCCAGTGATGAAGCTACTAATGAGCTTGAAGAGAAAACCTACTTTTACAGAGTGGGAGAGTAAGGCGCTGAACAAAGAAGCAGATCATTTAACTGGTACACGAACCCTTAATATTTTACTCACAGTGTTCAAGTCAGACATCCTCAAAACCACCTCCTGATTTTCCGTAAGAACCTAACAGACCTTGTTGTCTTTAGGTCTAACGTGAACCCTCAGAGCCACGACTCTCGGGCAGAGCGTACTCAGCAGTTGCAAAGAAATGATATTTTATTATATACATTTTGGTGTGTAACAAATGTAAATATTCTCTTTCCCCTACTCACCCCCACTAACATTTTTTTTATCAGATAAATTTATGGATCTATGACTAGTTGACTCCCTAGAGGCAGAAACACCCACAGACTCATCACGTTCTTTTGGCTCCAATAAAGACTTCATTCTGTGTTATATTTGGGAAAGTAGAGATGGTCACATCCGTCGCATAAGGAAAACGGGTTACCACCAAGATACTTCTTGGGAACACATGAAATCCCTTTGACATGACAAACAGATGTGTGAAACGATATGACGACAGGTGGACACGAGACCCGTCCGACTGGACATCAGTGATGATGCCGGGCCATCTCTCACCCCAGAGGAGACCAGCAAGGCGCCCCCCACACTTCCATCCACCAGAAGCTGTCCTCCACCATTTGTAAAATCCTTCCGAATTGCTGCTTTTAATCTCTATCTAATAGAACCCGCAGCATGATTTTTCACCTAACCTTAGTCTTGGGTTGATAAAGAACTCTAAAAACAAACAATCTAATCTCTATTACAGAGCGAAATAGTCTTTTCCAGAGTTCATTCACCTTGAATACCATATAAACTCATGCCCAAAACCAAACAAACAGAAATAATCTCAGGTGGGAACATCTGCCCGTTCTTTGGTTAGGTTTTCAGCCTCTTAATGGAGGAAAAAACCCCAAAGCAGACGGCATTTGCTCCGTGACACAGTTCCAGGGATGAGCTTGAGTTGTGCACCGTTCCCAGAGGACTATCTCCAGAACGCATTTCTGTGCTCGAGTGGGTGACAGCAACACCATTATAGGCAAATCTCCAATCTGCGTAAGAAAGCACTTTGTAAATTTGCAACTCGGGTCCTCACACATAGGAGTAAGCTGCCCGGCACCTCACACCTGAAAACAAGAACAGTTGGGGACCGTGGCTCCGGGACCCCGAGGGATAGTGAACTGTGCCGTGTGCACATCCCTCGGTCAAGAGCACAACTAATGAGCCCACAAAGTTCTCAGGACAGGAGGAGGGAGGTACAGAGCGGAGGAATCCCCATGACGGGCTCAAGGCAGATACAGAGGCAAGGGAAGTCTTTAAAAACTGAAAAACAAACTGAGGGTTCTAGAGGGGAGGGGGGTGGGAGGATGGGTTAGCCTAGTGATGGGTATTGAGGAGGGCATGTTCGGCATGGAGCACTGGGTGTTATGCACAAACAATGAATCATGGAACACTACATCTAAAGCTAATGATGTAATGTATGGTGATTAACATAACAATAAAAAATTTTTAAAAATGTAATAGAAAAAAAGTATGAGAGGAAAGTTAACAAGAAAGAAAAAATCTGGAAAAGCTACAAATGGTATTTCTTTGTTTCCCTTGCGTTTTCTCTCCTGTAACAGTGTTTGGGAGAGAGTGGGGGATTGCAGGGTGAGGGAAAGAAGATGAGGAAACCAGGAATACGCCCCCCAGCCACCTAGAGCTCCCTTGTTGACATAGCTGCAGAATCAATATCACAACTTACAAAGAGACAGTGTCAGCTTCACAAATTCCAAGTCATTCTTTTTAGCAGTTGGGAAAATCAAAACCATGAGGGAAAACTGTATTTCTTTTTATTTTTTATTATTTATTTTTTTAAACTGAAGCATAGCCAACACAGGCTGCGACGTTCGTGTCCGGTGCACAGCACGGTGACACGGCAAGAGTGTGTTACACTGCGGTCTCACGAGTGTGGCTGCTGTCTGTCACACACTTCCCTGGGGCAACACCACTGACTGTGTTCCCCATGCCGTGCTGCTCCTCCCGGGACTTATCCATCCCATTCCTGGAAGCTGGACCTCCCTCTGCCCTTCACCTGTCCCTCCCCTCCCTCTGCAACCACCAGTCTGTTCTCTGTATTCAGGGCTCTGTTTCTGCTCTTGTTTTGTGCTTTAGATTCCACATATGAGTGAAATCGTGTATTTGTCCTTCTCTGATTGAGTTATGTCACTTAATATAATACCCTCTAGCTCCATCCATGTCGTTGCAAGTGGCAAGATTTCACCCTTTTTTATAGCTAAGTAACATTCCAGTGTGTGTGTGTACTGCATCTTTTTTTAATTGTTTTTTTAAACTGCAATATTTTATTTATTTTTTTGAGTAATCTCTACACCCAATATGGAGCTTGAATGCACAACCCTGAGATCATATGCCCTACTGACTAAGCCAGCCAGGAGCCCCACTACCACATCTTCTTCATCCATTCATCACTCGATGGACACCTGGGCTGCTTCCATATCTTGGCTGCTACAAACATGGGGTGAATGTTTCCCTTCAAATCAGTGTTTTCATTTGCTTTGGGTAAATACCCAGCAGTGCGATTACTGGATTGTAGGGTAGTTCTATTTTTAACTTTTTGAGGTGCCTCCATACTGTTCTCCAGAGTGGTTGCACCAGTTTGCATTCCCACCAACAGTGCACGAGGATTCCCCTTTCTTTGCATCCTCGCCAACACCTGTTGTTTCTTGTACTGCTGATTTTAGCCATTCTGACAGGTCTGAGGTGGGATCTCTTTGTGGTTTTGATTTGCATTTCCCTGATGATCAGTGATGTTGAGCATCTTCTCATGAGTCTGTTGGCCACTTCGATGTCTTCTTTGGAGAAATGTCTGTTCATGTCTTCTGCCCATTTTTTAATTGGATTGTTTGGGATTTTCTTGGTATTGAGTTATATAAGTTCCTCATATATTTTGGGTATTAACCCCTTATCAGATGTATCATTTGTGAATATCTTCTCCCATTCAGTAGATCGCCTTGTCATTTTGTTGATGCCTTTGCTGTTGCTCTTTGCTTGGCAAAAGCTTTTTATCTTGGTGTAATCCTAATAGTTTACTTTTGCTTTTGTTTCCCTTGCCTCAGGAGACATATCTAGAAAAATGTTGCTAATGCCAATGTCAAAGAGTTTACTGCTAATGGTTTCTTTTAGGATTTTTATGGTTTCAGGTCTCACACTCAGGTCTTGAATCCATTTTGAGTTTATTTTTGTGTATGGTGTAAGAAAGTTGTCCAGTTCCATTCTTTTGCATGTAGCTGACCAGTTTTCCCAACACCATTTGTTGAAGAGATGTCTTTTCCCCATTGGATGTTCTTGTCTCCTTTGTCAAAGACTAATTAACCATATAAGCCTCTCCATTCTGTTCCATTCCTTCTTTTTTTAAAAAAACTGAGGTATAACTGACATACAATACTAGTTTCAGGAGTACAACCTAATGATCAATATTTAGATTCACTTGTACAATGATCAGAAGTCTGGTTAACATTGACATAGCTTTGTATATTTCTGAACAATGAAAATGCTTTGAAGGAAATATATTTTCTGCTTCATGGGCTGTAGCCAAATTTAAGTAAGAAAGTGCCTAAAGTAGCACATTTTTGTCTCAATTGCCCCACTGGATTGTGCCATATTGCCTTTTTGTAAAAGGGCAGTCTGCAAATAATAACTTTTCAGTTCAGTGCTGGTATGTGAGGAAGAAAGTATCTGAAAGTAAAGAATCCACACCCTGATGAACATTCTTAAGACTTCCAACAAAAACCAAAGCATTCTTTGTCCTCCAGTATTTGCATGGATCATCATAGGGACCCTGGGGTGCTGTTGAGAAGATGAAATGAGCAACCTGTAGGCCAGCCTTTGATCCACCGTTCACACACCAGAGCTGGGTGTGCTCGGGTGATGCATTTCCTGAACACTCGCAGGACGTCCCCTCCATGCAGGTCATTTCACGTCTGGAGCTGTTACCACCGAGGAGCCCCAACTACCACAAGAAGTACAAAATGAACCAGGCGGGTGGACGAAAGGGCTGGCAGTGGGCGACTAACATTTAAAGAGAATCTCACAAACATCAAGCACTTTATACATATTAACAACGTTTAGCATATATTAAATGCTTGAGTATGAGGAAATTGTCTTTTTTAAAAAAGATTTTTTCTTTCTTTCTTCTTTCTTTCTTTCAGAGAGAGCAGGTGGGGAGGGGCAGAGGGAGACAATCTCAAGCAGACTCCGTGCTGAGTGCGGAGCCCAACACAGGACTCGATCTCACGACCCTGAGATCACGACCTGAGCTGAAACCAAGAGTCTGATACTCAACCGACTGA